GAGGTGGAAATAATAGGAGGATAAACAAGGGATAATTGGGCGGATTGAGACCAAGAGAAGCATTTGATCAGGCTGATTTGTGTCTGCAAAGAGAGAGATGATGTGAAGAGCAGAGAGGTTAAAGGTCACACACTCTAGTATGTATGCACACGTATGACACGCACATGCTTTACATGCATGAGTGGTGCTCTATAGACCCAGACCTGACATAAGCTTACAGATACATACATGCATACATGCACGAAGACATACTGTGACATGCATGAAAGATCAGGCTGCAAAAGCAATCTTTTAAAAGGTTCATAGTCCCACAGAAGGTTCATACTATGAAACAAAATTTGAGTCAATATCAGTCTGACTTTGGGAGTTCTGATTTAAATGTTTTTTACTCTGTCAGGCTGTGCGACCGTGGATGTCACTCAGACATCTCTGACAGTCGCTGCAGTCTAGATACACTTTTAGTCAGTTTTACACAGTGATACATCAGCATCACCCACAGGACACAGACATGAACAGCAAAGATTCACAGCATTACTGGTGAAATCCTTACCTGCTGTTGCTGCCAAAAATCGTAAACTCTGATGGATTTCAACTTGCTTTGTTTTTAACAAAAACACTGAAGTATTAAATTCAAGTGACTTTCTCTTTTTGGTCTTTCCTTGTGTTTACATTTAGGTAATTTTATCAACCACACACTTGCTGATTTATTTTTAATAAAAATGTAAAATAATACTATCCATTTTGTTTTTCTAAAATAAACTTTAGATTTGCAGATACTTTTGATAAGTGTTTATGTATGGACATAACATTTTGATGTCACCCTTCTGCGTTAGGGGCACTTGGAATGATTTACGGGCATTTATAATTCCCATCTGCTGCAGATCCTCCTGGTTTATTTATTTTTTCGTCATTGTCTTGTACGTCAGCAACTTGACATTAAATTTGGGACTTACCAGAATTTTTTCATCTGGCTCTTCTTTACAGATTTGTTGATAAAGTACAGCAAAGAAAAGTGTAAGATGCTCTGTATGATTCTATGATGAAGCTAAATAAAAGTTCAAAAAAAGAGCAAACCGTGGATTTATGTCGCCATCAAGTGGCAGGACTGTGACTTTGTGCACTCACAGAGAAAACGGGACAGAGCCTCTTTTTCTTTTTCGGTGGGCCGAGGTACCCGACTGTAGGATCTGACTATAGTCAGCTGCGACATAAGATACCATCTGGTCGCCTCTCCAAGGGGAAGTGTCAGGAAGATTACACGGAGTAGACCCAGGACTCAGATACCTGGCAGAAAATGGATGTGTGGATGCAAAAGTACTTGTTATGATAAATTAATGTAAGGTCACATATCTACTCAAAGTATGTCCACGATCATGCCCAGCTAAAAAGTCCCTGCTCACTTTGAATGCTCACTTATATGTAGCTACCTGGACTGACACGTAGTGACATTAAGCACCACATTTAGAAATGACGTATAATACTCCCAGAGAGTGCATGTGAACATAGTGGATATGCAACCATTTTTTATGGAACAGAATCTGGACCTTTTAAAAATCGCATATATGCACATATAACAAGCAGAGTGATATAGATTAAAAACAAGAGGAAAAACAGTGTAAAAGGAACAGCTTAAATTCGTGTCTTCAGTAAATAATTTTCGGAGAGAGGAGTGCAAACATGATTGGTAATTTTTAGGTTAGGTTAGATTAGATTACTTCCAAATTTTGGATGAATAAACACAATTTAACGCATGGCTCGTCAGAACAATAGAAGCTCTGTGGTATATTTGGTGTCAGTGACTAGGACTAAAATTCCGATTGCAGCCGAGGCAATAAAATCTTACTCTACAGGCTAATTATTTTACATTGCATCATCTTATACTCCAAACATGTGAAATACTGTGTCAGCTGTTGTGGAAACGTTGTTCAATCTCCAATTGATCGATGGTGACAGCAGCACGTAGCGTCTGCTCATTGGACGTTACTGTGATTGACTGAGGAGACGAGATGAGAGGGCGGCTGGGCGATACCATTCATCCGGCCCAACACCGAAAAATAGCCTATGAAAAGATTAATGAGCTCTAGAAGCCATCAGGACTGCGGTTTCAAAGAGGATTATGGGCGTGTAGCTGAATTCGATGGTAAGATTACGAATCTGGGTAATTTAGAGCTGGATTAGCCTCCTAATCAGACGCGGTGTCCCCTCGCATCCCTGCGAATAAACAGGATGAGGAGACGGTTTTGTGACGCTGCAAGGAAACCTGCGAAGATGCAGAAATTCAAACAGTGATGGACATCCAGTTTTCTTCCAGATCGGTTTAACCGTTTTTGTTTTTTGTATTTATTGTTTTACCAGCGTTCCCTTTTTTGTTGGTCATGATTTTCCTGCGGAGGCTTGTGCAGCTTTCGGTGCTGCTGATCCACGCTGGATGGTGGGGGGTCGCGCCGAGCCCCACCGATGAGGGAGCACTCCGGACTGGCCACGGAGAGCACGGAGAGCCTGGACACCAAGAGCCTCACAAGGACTCCTACAGCACCTTTGCCTCCGAGTTTCTGGAGTCCAGATATCTGTCCGATGATGGTGAGGATGTCACTCAGTCCACTAAAGATGAGCAGCTAGTGGTTTTGTTTGCATGCTTTTTTTTCCACACACAAGCACACAGGGCCTAGCATGGGCAGGACAAAGGTTAATATGTGCCAGTGTTGTCTTGCATCCAACCTGTCACCTCAATATGAGGCCTTTCAGCACCCAGGCCAGCTCCCCGATGGTAGCTGCCCACCCCTTCTTTCTCCTCACCCACACACAGAGTGCAGATGACCTCTCCTCAGTTGGCCTTCATCACTGAATACATGTATCAGCTGTTTAGTGTGTAATCAACAAAATTCACGTTATTTATTTACTTATTTGCTGTGTTTCGCAGGTTACCCATTCCCCACAGCACCCCCAGTTGACCCCTTTGCCAAGATCAAAGTCAGCGACTGTGGAGTAACAAAGGGCTGCATAAGGTTAGAGATCCACCTCTGTTTTTCTCTAAAAAGAGCTCGAGTGTTACTGTAATCCCTGGGGGTCCTTCATCCCAGATGCTCCTGACGTCAGAGAGCCAGAGCTAAACATGGGAATGCTCAGCAAGCTAATCTTTCTTCTTTGTAACCTGGATTCAGTTTCTTTTAAAAAGTGTCCTCATTTGTTTAGATGAGCTCTGTCTGCCCAGCTGAGATCCTATCTCTAGTGAATGACCGTGAGCATTTGCATATATTTATCTGCACTCAGGTACGGGAAGCCGGGGTGCGATGCAGAGACGTGTGACTACTTTCTGAGTTATCGTCGCATCGGGACAGATGTGGAGTTTGAGCTGAGCGCAGATACGGATGGCTGGGTGGCTGTAGGTTTCTCATCTGATAAGAAAATGGTGAGCAGCTCTGCAACATCTCTGACTGCTAAAAGTTACACAGGTCTTGTGTCTTATTTGGGACAGCAAACCATGTGTTTGTATCTTTTGGGCTGCATATAATTATGATTTATTTGTTTTATCGCTTCAGGGTACAGAAAAATTAGCAGTCCCACGTCAAACTCATGGATAAGAATTTTTTTGACTGTAAGAGATTGAACCAATTAAATATGAAATTCAGTGACTCAGCAGGTCTCCACAATAAACTCTCTGTTTCAATGTTTCAAAACTTAAAAAAACATATATTAATTTATTAGCCAGTTTGTTTAATAAAAACATTGTTTGGGTTAAAGTAAACCCTTTCACAATTTAATCCAATGAGGCGAAGCTTGTGCTGTTTTTTCCCCCAGGTCAAAACATTGACATCACAACAGTGTGACTGATACGTTGCAACCACAGTCCTGGAGCAACATTTATGTAACTTTTTGCGAAGACTAAAAGCATGATATTGCATCACATGCAATATCATGCTGCATGCATGCATCACAGTTGCTGCAGATTTCTCAGATGAACATCTGTGATGGAAATCTCTAATTCACCATGTCCCAAAGGATCTCCATTAGATTGAGATCTGGTGACTATGGAGGCCCTTTAAGTACAGTGAACTCGTTGTCATTTTCAAGAACCCAGTTTGACACAATTTGAGCTTTAAGACATGTTGTGTTATCTTGCTGGAGGCAGCCATCAGAGGATAGGTACAGTGTGCCAATAAAGGGATTAATATTTTCAGCAACAATCTCAAGAATGGCTGCTCACTGGATATTTTCTTTTACAAGGAATTCTTTGGAAAACATAGAGATGTTTACATGGGAAAAATCCCAGCCGATCAGCAGTTTCTGAAATACTCAGATTAGTCTGTCTGGCACCAGCAACCAAGTTCAAAGTCACTTAAATCACTTTTCTTCCCAATTCTGATGTTCATTTTGGACTTCAGAAGGTCATCTTAATATCTTAAATGTTTAAATGCTTAAATGCACTGAGCCATGTGACTGGCTCATGGGTATTTTTTATTTTAATGAACTGGCCTGGAAGTGTATATTTTACCTTGACTGTATCATAATGGTCAGTTTTTTCAAGAACTAAATTTATGCACATTTTGGAAATAACAGTCTTTGTTTCCTTAGGGAGGAGACGATGTTATGGCCTGTGTGCACGATGATAACGGGCGCGTGCGGATACATCACTTCTACAACGTCGGCCAGTGGGCCAAGGAGATCAAGAGGAATCCGGCTCGAGACGAAGAGGGCATATTTGAGAACAACCGCGTCACCTGCCGTTTCAAGCGACCGTTATACGTCCCACGAGAGGAAACGCTTGTGGACTTACACCTCTCGTGGTACTACCTGTTTGCATGGGGACCTGCTATTCAAGGTGAGCAATGAGTCTTTAGCATCAGATTACACTGCCCATTTTTTTAGCCCTTGCCCGTGACATCTCCTTCATCTTACCTGTCCAACAGGTTCCATCACGAGGCACGATATTGACAGTCCTCCAGTCAGCGAGCACATGATCAGCATCTATAAGTACGTGGACATCTTCATGCCCTCCACAGCTTATCAGACATTTAATTCTCCCCTCTGCTTACTGCTCATAGTAGCTCTCACCTTCTACCTGCTGATGGGGACGCCATAACGAAGCACAGCACAGCACAGCACAGCAGAGAGAGGATGAAGCAGCAATAAAAAAAGTTTAAATCTGATGCCACATACAAGTGCCCTCTTTGCACAGACTGTGTTAGATATATTGAACATGAAAGACTATATATTCATAACTCACACAGCATCTTGAAGTATTAAAGCAACACTCTAGAGGTGACATGTGCTGATCTGAGTATTAGACAAGAGGGCAGAGTAGTAGTAGTAGTTTAAAATAGGCCAGTCATTTTCAGTGTTAACGATAGCTTCCAGTTATATAAAAATATGAGGACTCCATTCCAACAAATACATCTCACAAGACTTTGAAACCCTGCATGCACTGGAAAATCTGGGAATGGTTTCAGACACCCACCGTGCACTGGTGAATAATGTCAAACTTTGCCAAAACAACGGGTTTCTGAGGATGAAAGGAAAATAAAACAGCTCTCACAAATGCTTCCCGTCTCCTCACCCTGCTACGTTTCTGTGGATCTCAGCCTTAAAAAAATAAAATAAAAATGTTGTTTGCTGGTGTTAGAAATATGGACTGCAGGGTTTCAGGAACAACCCGGTGCATCTACTATGTAAAAGATTTTCGTATACTTTTTTTTTTACATCCTTGTCTGATTTCATCATCTCACTTCCTCAACCACAGTAACTGCTTTGTTTATCAGTACTGTGACACTGTGACTCACAGCAAGACTGATGAGAAGAGTTACTACTATTGCCTGTTCAAGCAATAACACGGTTAACAGAAACATTTTGCTCTTATATGAAGTAATATTTTTTTTCCCTGGGTTGCTATTGTAGCTTTTGAAGTGTATTAAAAATGGTTGAATATGTTAATATGTCTCCCACTGAAACATCTGTCGCTGCTGTGCTTATTGCTAAGAACATAGTCTATACAAAATACAGACGCTGTAGTGAATGCAGAGACTGCCTTCTCACTCTGGAAGTATAAAGCCAAAGGGCATGACTTTAATAGAATGTAACATAATTAGATTTTGAGCAGTGGCTACGTGTAGTATGATGTGCAGCCTGATAAAATGTACAAATTACTCATACATTCACACTCGTGAGAGGCTGGGCAGAAGATAAAATACACAAGAAAGCGCAGAAAATAACAAACCAACAAAAAACACACCACCTTTTACACACCACCTGCTTTTCAAGCACATGAAATGGGCAGTGGGAAAAATAAAGGGGTTGTAGAAATTTTCATAAAAAAGTAAATGAATGTACAAATGCAATGGTATTCATATAAAAACCATTGTATATTTATGCGTGGTTGTTTTGTTTTGTTTTTCTTACCAGTTAACCTAACATGCATGCCTACCATGGGAAGAAGCTGTAGGGCACAGGGAGAATATGCAGCTTTTGAACAGAAAGACCCCACACAGCCATGAGATTCAAACCCAGTGGAAGTGGAAGCTAGTGTGGTGTCAACTTGAAGTCAACTTACCGTACCATTTAAAAAACAAATGTTTAAAAAAGGATCTCGGAATTTCAGAAAACCTGATCATCATGACTCTAATTGTCTTGAAGACACTTTGTTTAACAATGTAATGTAATTATTTTTATTTATATATTTTAAATAGCTATGATGTGTATTGCTGCTTGAATTAAGTACTTTATAACACCACCTTGTAACATTAATAAAACAATAATAAAAAATAAACCGGAAGAAAAGTGGTAAGTTAAAAAAAAAAAGAAAAAGAAAACAGGAAGGAACGCGCGACATCACGGACACTTCATTGCCCATGAGGCCTTTGGGCATTCGATGTTGCTACGTCATTGTTTTCCTCCCTCACGCGGTGGAACAGTTGGACGGGCTGGCGGAGCTGAAACTGGGAACATGGCAGACGAGGAGGATTCGGCGCCGGATCCCGCCGCTGTCTCTCCCCCAGAGAGCCCTCACGCTGGGCAGCCTCACTTTGTTTCTTTCTCGGAGAGCTTCCAGCCGGCTGTCGGGATGATGAGCCAACTGCTAACCCAGCCCTCCTCCCTGAAGTTTGACAAGAACATAAAACAGGCCTTCTACAACACCGGGGCGATGATATTTGTGGCTATCTGCTGCGGGGCAGCTGTCCTGGTCTATTTCATCCTCGAGGCTTTCCTCCGCCCGCTGCTCTGGGCTGTGCTCTGCGGCACCTTCCTCCACCCCTTCAAATACTCCCTGGCTCGTCTCGGCCGTTCATGGCTCAGCGGCCTGCAAGACAGCGGGACGCCCATAGTGGTGGGGACGCTGCTGGTCCCGGTGTGGTGTCTCAACTACGGGGTGGAGGCGATGGGTAGGGTAGTTCTGGAGAAGCTCACGATACTCCTGGTTATCGGGGCGGGGGCACCGCTGGTTTACTTCCTCTACCTTTTCTGGAGTGTCATCGGTATGCAGGTGATCCTCGGGCACGTCTGTGGGGTCATCGGGAACGCGCTGGACTGTTTCCACTTTATGTGGGTGAGTGACAGTAGAGTGACAATCCTCTCTCTGACAGAATGACAAAGGGCCCCTCTGTCCGTCAGAGTGGGTGCTGTTAGGTCAGCTCTGTGTAAACTGTGGCACATATTTTAAATATTATCTGGGACAGAATGTTAAAAGTTATACTTTAAACGTCAATGATTTTATTACTCGCCTGATTGTGTGGGTCTTACTATAGTAAACTAGTAATCTTACGATAACAAACTAGTAGTCTTTTGATTGTTGGTTGGGTAAAAACAAAAATCAAATATGAAAAGCTCACATCACGTTATTTGCACAGAAAATTATCTACAGAGGGAGTAATAACAGTAATTGTGAATTTCATTCCTACTTAATCCCGTTTTGTGTGTCTGATTAAAATGAACTCAGAATTAAAATGTTGACTGTACAAATGTACAAATGTTATTATCATGTTGTCATAAATGTCATTTAGCAATAGGCAATAGTTGACAAAGAATAATTGGGGGATTAAAGTTGACTGGCTGCTGCAGTGTGTCTCTAATAAAGACTTATTCGATTAACCTAAACAGAAAATGTGTTTCTTGGAATATGTGTGCAAACTTTTATGTAAGTTGATCTAATTTCCTGCAGTTCCAGCATCTGATCGATCGGTACCTCATTCCCAAACAGCTCCAGGGGCCAGAACCCGTCCGCCTCATCCAAATTGCATTAAATGTTCTTCTTTCTCTGAATGCGGAGTTCAGCTGACAGAGGGCCTGTGTTTATAAATAGGATGGAGGACATTATATTAAATTACATCAAGGCATGTCTTTGTGAGGAGCGACACAAGCTGAGATCTTTATGAGCAGTCGATTAAACTTCTAGTGTAGTCTTAAGTGCTCACTGCTAAACAGGAGCAGAGCGTTTGTAAAACTGGATGAGTTTAGGAAGAAAAAACATCAACACAAAGTGATTATCACAAAAACTGTTCAATTATACTTTTTAAGACTCATGAAGTTTAAAGGTTCAGCATCAAATGATGATTATGATGCAATGGAAGAGAATAGAAGTCTCAGTATATTTAATTAAAATACCCTCTGTTTCATTATTGTGCATCTTTGTTTTACTTCGTCACAGGTGGGGACTGTCGTGTTTGGATACTTGCTGGCGGTTTGTTTTAAGTGGAGTCCTCAAACTGAGCGGTACCTGAGGACTCTGGCACTTCCTGTCTGGGCTGTCCTGCTCTTCTACATCGGTGAGTGTGGACAGCGCCCACAGCCAGCCATACAAGCTGCCTCTTTGGACTGCAGGAGATTTCTTCTAAATGTGGTCAATAAGTTGCTGCCTGTACAAATCCACTTGTCTTTGAAACAGAGGGCACGCAGAGTTGTGCGGTAAGATGAGGATGTTGAAAGTATTTTTAGCACACTTAACACTTGCTCTGAGCTTCAGGCGTGAAGTTTTAAAAAGTGACTGAAAGCTGGTTAAGAAGAAGTTCTGCCTTAAAAGGAGGTTTCTGGGCACATGTGAGAAAATGTTTTCTGCTTTGAAGTTTTTAAAAGTGCTTTCATAGCAACAGTCAACATTGTATGTCATATTTGTTTATGAATATGGTTCAGCTCATCAGGCAAGACTAGCAGAGTCATGCTTGACAAGGAATATACCTGTTAAGCCAGTAATGTCGTCCTGCAGTTTAACTACAACAGCTTTCTCTCAATCTAGTTAAATGTATCCATCCGTAACTCATCCATCTTCTTCCACTTATCCAATTCCTCTATCTGTTTTAGTGTCTCTGACTGGCTCATGGAGAGTCCCCATATTTGTGGTTGTGGTTGGGCTTCTCATCGTGGGCTACCAAGAGAAACCACCTGTCCCTGGCACAGGTGAAAATATACTATCACACCTGTACACTGACATACATTGACATTTACCACAATGAGATACCTTTACTCACCATTAACTAGGTAATAAATATGGTCAAATGAGCACAAGTCTATGATGTGCTTAGATTAAGTTGCCTTTAGCCACATTTGCCTAAGCCTAGCTTTACGTGAAATATAAGTGACTTGAGGTGACTGGTTGGGCTACGCTCATCAGACCAGCTTTGATCTTTCCTACTGTGCATCCTCCGCTCTGCCTGCCTGCCTTTGTGTTTCGTTATATTCAGTCTCTCTTGATCTCCCCAGGTGAGCTTTCAGGGCAGGTGCTGTCATTTGCTGCTAACACTATTTACATGGCAATCTCCTGTAGCAACCTTCAACCCAAAACCGAACTCAGTGGAAGCTCCTCCACAGGTAAGCTAGCTGCATTGTATTCAGTCTATTAAAGAAGATGATACAGATGTCCCAGATATCTGGGCTGTAAGGTTTATGAAATGAGAGAACTGGCAGATTGAACAGAGGGAATCAGACCTCTGAACATACTGTTCGATAAATGTTCAGAGCATTGCTAATTGGTCAGAAAAATGTCAAGTTTTAAAACCCAAGATATGCAATTTCAGTTTTACATTCTTTATTTCTTTTTTTTACTGTAGCTGCTTTGGCTTTACCAATTTAGCCACAGCGGCTGAAACTCAACTGCTTTGTTCTTTCTTTCTCTTCCTCTTCTGTGCTTCCTCTGTCTGCTTTCCCTCATCCGCTCATAGATGGTGTGCAGTCTGTGGGTCCCGTGCCTTCCACTCCTGGGTTTCCCGGGTTCGCTGGGAGCTCTCGTACATTGCCCGGCCTCTTCCAGAGAGAGAAAAGCTCCCACAGAGCCAGTGATATTTACTTTATTCTGCTGGTCTGGGCTATTGTCTTGGTGCAGGTCTGGCTCAACCTGTGGATACTACAACTGCTCCCTATTCCTGTGGCCGGTAACACACACACAGACATACAAACAGATATGTGCACACTTTCAGTTACTCCTCGTCAGTCGGATTTTACTCATGTGCATGTTGGCTCACTGATCTAGTGTGGGTTCTGAAGAAGCTGGTGGTCCGGTTTGGTATGAAGAGCTTTGCAGAGAGGACTCTTACCTCGTGGTGGACGGTGCTAGAGAAGTTTGGACGTGAGCGTGAAGAGGCATTGCTCCCTGGACCAATCAAAGGCCTTGCTCAGTTCCTCCTACGTATCGACACTAAGGTAATGTAAGAGCTGCCTGTGAAGCTGATGTCCTTATTTCCTCTGCCTTTGACTTTATACTTCCCCATCCAGACACACTTTATCTGCAACTGCTTGATAACAAATTACTTATCAAAATATCTCAGGAAAACTGAAAGTCTCAAAATGCTCTGTTGTTATCAGTCATATTACATATGTTAGTTTCATTTTTAATGTCTAAATTTAGCCAGTGTAAAGATCTGCCAGGTCCTAAATTTATTAAAATGAAATTGGTAAATTCATATTAAATTGCCAAAAACGGGGGCTTTTTAGTTTCCTTTACCTTTAACAGAGGATTTTAGCTGCTGTTTTTGTTTTTCAGCCTTTTAGTTTTGACCCAGTTGCAACAATCTCATCAGTGTCATTTACGGCAACAGCTGGAAGCTATTTTTAGCAAAAAGCTGTATTAAACCAAGTGTGCGCTAAACTGCCCAGCACCAAATGGTAGACGGACAAAATTAGCACTTAGCTGAGGAACACTTTAAAATCAGTTCATTAAAAAACGGAGCTAAAAGGAGAGTGAATATTAGCCTGATGCCCGCATCATCAGGTGGGCAAGAAAATACTCATGCATCAGTGATGTTGTTGCTCCATATCTGCTGGATGTGTAAGTATGCAGTTGTTTTGTTTCCAATCAAAATTTAGAGGCAAAATATCTCCAAATCTCTCAATATAGACTAAAAATCTCAAAAAACAAAGCAACGCAGAGCAGAATTTTTTGCCGACATTTTAGAGTGAGTGACAGGATTAGTGCTACATGGTTTACATTTCTCAGGTTTTATAAATAATGATGTCATTGCTGTAATCTTATACACTTTTCTGCCTTGCCCTCACAGTTTTGGGATGTATTTGTGTTCTGTCTTTGTAATCACATTGATTTGCATCCCACTTGTATTGCCAGTCCACACTCACTGTAGTTAGTGTATCTTGTCTGCCACTTCCTGAGGGGTGTACTATGAAGCAGCTTCCGCAGAGTTTGACTTTTTTGTTTTCATGCATTAGTTGGTCCCATGAAACCTAAAACCTCATTCAAACCTGACGGGTATTTCCAATTTTAATGTTAACCCATGGTTTCTGTGACAGGCTCTGTCCTCGCTTACATAAAAGTGGGAGTTGGTGGTGGGTTCATCATTTGACTCCTGCACAAAATGGACTGCAGCAGCTATACTGGTGCTGCCAATAACTCAAGATGGAGCAATTCAGCAGAAAAATATTAATCGCATAAATTAATAAATTAGTATATTTATTTTACCACTCAGTCCACTCCTGGTGCTGCTATTTAATGTAGAGATCTACAAATTAGAATCATGATGCGTTTCATCATGAAGTGCATTCAGGTTTGACACTGTAATTAGATAACTTTTGTTATTGACTAAATTGAATTAAATAAATTTTCTTAATTGAATAACCTCTGTAATAAATTCCAGTAGACTGCTATCGCAGCAGTGTAAAACGTAGCATTTACACAAGTTCAGTGCCTGGGAATTCCTGTGAAAACACAACATGTACAGTTGTTGTCAGTTTACATTCATCACAGGCATAAACATCATAGTAAATTTGGACTTTTAACGATTTTTTTGAGCTGTTCTTTTTTCCAGACTTGTATTATTGTAGACCATATATGTTTAATGACTTTAAGGAAAAAAAGAAATGGGAGCATGAGTTTGAACTTATTTTAGATTTTCTCTCATCCAAATAGTCTGGAACATATACATACACGCCCAAATGTATACACATACTCAAGTGGTCCCGAAGGTTCTACAGTGCCTTTTAATCTGACAGGGCCAAGGCCTATTAACTCCTCATTAATTATTGACTACAGCTGGTAGTTTCTCTTTGCCAGCACAAAAAGGATTTGCTTGGCAGGACTCATTTGATTGACCTCAGACCAATAGGAAACTCAAAGGAGCCCAACCCGAGAACCACCGAGGCTCAAGAACTGGAAACTGTTGGAACACCAACATCACTGTCCACAGTGAAGTGAATTTTACATTGCAGTGGATTGAGAGGGTGTTGACCAAGAAAGAAACCCCTGCTTTAAAATCAACACATTCAAGCTCCTCTGAAGTTTGCAGCTGCTCAAACAGATAAGCCAAATGCCCTCTGGAGAAAAGTTTATGGTCAGGCAAGATAAAGATTGAACTTTTGGGCCACAATGACTAGAAGTGTAAACATGAGGAACACTGTACTGAGTGTCAAGCATAGTAGTGGTAGCATCATGCTCTGGACCCGTTTTGCTGCCAGTGGCATAAGGTACATTACAGAGAAGATTCTTAAACTTGATCTTAAATGAACAGATAGGTTCAGGTTGAAACTTGAACACAGTTGGTAGTTCCAACAGGACAATGATCCCAAACACATATCGAAACTGGTGTTGGAATCGATAAAGTAGGCTAGCATTGAGCTTCTTGAATGGCCTTCCCAAAGCCCCAACCTCAACCCTTTGAATATTCGTGGACTATGCTGAAAGGCTGGGTCTGCTCCAGGAATTATGCCTAAAGCTTGTCGATGGCTACCGGAAGCATTTGGTTGACTTGCTAAGAGACATTTAAACAAAATAATAGTGGAGATTTATGTATATATTTTGACCCTTAGTGGATTAGAGAAGAGCCAAAATAAATACAAACAACTGAGTTCAAAGAAATCATTAAAAGCCCCAAATGACCTGTGATTGTATGTAAACCGACCACAGCTGTACCGTTTGCACTGCTGTAACTTAACTGCTAGACTTTGTTCAGTGCTGTTATGTACAGCTTAACAGATTGCATGTCAGCTGATAATCTATATCACTCTTAGGGCAACTTGGTTGGAAAAGAAGTGAAACCGTATCACTTGGAGATGATGTTAGACAAAAACTTCTGAAAATAGCTTTAAAACGCGAGCTGCCCTTCTGAAACCTCTGGCTATAGTCTCAACATACCTTGCTAACACATGAATTCCTCTTTGTAGTACACCGCTCTGACCCCTCAGAGCCTGTACCCACACAGAGCTTGTATTCTTGTTGCACGGGTACATGTGATGACTGCTGCAAAACTCTTTCCAATAATAATTTTCCCAATGTCTCTTTGTCTCCTCCCCAAGCTCTGGCATTGGCTTAACAAGCAGGTAATGATTTGGAGGAGCAGAGTGCTGAGAGAGCGAGACTGAGAGAAAGTGGGCTTGTGTGTGAGAGACATTGAGAAAACAAGGGCAAATAAATAAATAACTTGTATTTATGTGCGGGTGTGTGTGTGACAGCGTGAGCACACCTTGTAGCGGCTTGGACTGGCATTTTACCCATCCACTGTCATCACCTCTGCCATCCTGTCTAAACATCTGTCCTCTTGCTTCTTTCCAGCTTTTATTTTGACAGTGAGCTACAGCCGGGGTGTTGCACTCAATAATCCCTCAGCCCCGACTGTATCTTCTCTGCTTTGACCTGAGTTTGTCTTGAGTGTGTGTGTGTGTGTGTGTGTGAGCTGCCTCAAAGAGTAGTGTTAAATGGGGGGGGGGTTCCTTTTTTTCCCCCGGAAATTTTAATTTTTTTATTTTTTAGGTGTGGCTAAGGGACTGGACAAAACAATGGAAACACGGTTATTCAATGTGAGGAACTAAACTTAGTGAATATATTGGCCACCTTTGGACCATTTGGCTCTGTGGAGCTGGTTATTACCATAGACTGTATATAAAAGATGGAGATTAGCACTGGGCTGTCACTCATTGTTTGGTCTTTGTTGTTGTTGTTCTTTTAGTTTTAAAGTAAGACATCAGAAAAGAGGCTTGGCTCAAATTGAGATTTTTGTGGAAACTACATGCTCAGTCAGCAGCCAGGACCAAATTTCAAACCCTTTTTTGTCATCTGTTTTACTCTTACATTTGACCATATTGTACAACATACAACATTCTGCTTTTATTTTTGTTTTGTTTTTTTGTTTTGTTTGTATTTTAATAAGGCTTGAAACTATTGATGAGACCACAAACTCTCTCTGTAGTTCTCAATTTGAACTATATACAGAATGGCTGTAGCTCCCGTTGACCTCAATGTACCTACAAGCCTGCATTTTGCATCTGAAGGCCACCAGGTCACAATAACTATGGTTGGAAAAAGACTTGCTTTCTGTCTTGACCTCAGTACAAATTTAAAGTGTTTACAATCTATTCAATTCAGTTCGGTTTTATTTATATAGCACCAAATCACACAAGTTGCCTCAAGGCACTTTATACTCTGATTCTGGCTGTTATTTATGAACTAGAGTGTCTTTTATTTAGAATTATCACAGGTGTTGATTCAGTTCAGTCATTTCTGATGATGTAGTTTATATTTTTAATACAGTGCCGATGTGCTGCATTGGGAATGTAGTGTTTGTCGTTGTGCGGCCTGTGTATAACTTTTTAGAGGTCTCATGCTCTTTGCAGAAAATGCCATGTCATGTCACCATCAATATAATAAACCATTACGCCATGGCCTTAGTGCAAAAAGAGAGGGTTCTGCTAACAGAGCTTTGATTTTAATGCAGTTTTGGCGCATTGAGAAACCTGAGTCGAGAACAGAGAGCTCACT